GCTTGTATATCTCACTCTAAGCGCCCTATGATCTGTATATCCCTGTTTGCTATGATCTGCCTGTACTACTCGCAAAACAAAATTATTCACTGTACTTAGGTATACATGATAAGAATAAATCAAATCGAAAATCTGATGTGTACTATTTGACTCTGGACCCACAAGAATAGAGTTAACTCTTAACTGCTTCTGAAGTCAAATCAAACTGCTAAAATGTATCAAAATAATGAAACCAGGCAGACTCTAGCATCGATCTAGACACCAAAACCTGTAGCATTGAGTTTACTGGTGATAAGTCCTCCTCACTAATATCTGGGGGCTAATGCCAAAACTGAGACAACATTCTTAGAGTAGTCAAGCAACAGCTTTAGTCATACGTATGCCATTGTATTTCATAGACAATGTCCCAGGCACTACCGCCACCGCTAACCTGTCCTGTCCTTTTGGTGGGGCAGAACCAGCAGGCACGGCAGTACACTAGCATACCCTGAGGAGCATGTTGTGCTGGAAGCCCTCAACAATGACTCCAGACACCATGAAGTCTCATGGCATCAGAGTCAAATATGTGCAAACAAATCCACTGACGACCACATGGCATACCCACCCAACCTCTCAGCTGATGACTCATTAGTCCTCCATGTTAAGCATTACTTGGAGGAAGCACTAAGGGTAGCATGACTGCACAATATATTGGGTGGGTCTTCAATGTCCACTACCAAAAGTGGCTACGCAGCACTACTACTGACTGAGCTGGTGAAAGTAAAGGACGTAGCCACTAGACTGGGTTAACAGCAGGTCGTGGGGGAACCAACAAGGGAGAACAATTTCTCACCAATGTCTGCAGCAGTTGTAACTGTCCCATGACAAAAGTAGTAGGAGCAATCACTGCACGATCCTCGTGGAGACAAAGTCCAGTCTTCACATTGCAGATGTCCTATGTTGCATTTTGTGCTTTATCAGTGTACTAAATGGGGTGGATTTCAAACAGATCTAGCAACTCAAAACTGGACATTCACTAGGAACTACAGTTCACAATGAGCAGCAAAATTGTACTCCTACACAAGCTGCAACCTCATGGTTCAGGAATATTCCCCACTCTATCAACATCAAGCGAGAAGATTCACGCTGCTTCGATAAATAAAATGACATGTCATGCCAGAACCAGCAGACACACCTAGAAACAGAGTGTCAACCTTATGAAGCTACAACACAGGATTGTGAGTGCCAAGCAGCAATAACAGCAAGTGAGAGGGGGCTAAATCATTCCACTACCACTGGATCAGATCTAGGCTCTGCAGTCCTGTAACATCCAGTCACAAATAGTGGAGGACAATGAAATTACTCACTGGGGGAGACAACTCCATAAATATCCTCATCTTCAACGACTGGGGAGCCCAGTACATCAATGCAAAAGATACGACTGAAGATTTGCAACAATCCAGAAGTGCCAAATGTATGATCTATTTTAACCTCAGATCCCCTGCATCATTGAAGTCTTCAGCCAATTCCACATCCTCATGAGATATCAAGAAACTGTTGAATTCACTGCACACTGCAAAAGCAATGGGTCCTAACAACATTCTGACTTGTTTTGAAGACCTATGCTCCAGAACTTTCTCATCCCTAGCCTAGCTCAATCTTATACACCTCAATCAGACCCCGCTCCTTAGCTTTCTCTGCTCCAATCAATCCAATCATGCAGCCTCTCTTCACAACTACACTGTGCCATCCCAGTCAAAATCCTGGTGAATCTCCTCTGCAGCCCTCCAGTGCAATCACAGCTCATATCCCTCCTATTGTGTGGTGACCAGAACTGCACAAAATACTCCAGCTATGGCAAACCAAGTTTTCGTACTGCTATAACATAACATCACTGACTTTATAATCTATGCCATGACTGATAGAGTCTTAAATGCCTTCTTAACTACTCTATTAATCTGCCTTACTGCCTTCAGGGATATGTGGATAAGTACCCCAAGTTCCCTTTGCTCCTCTCACCTTCCCACTGTCCTACCATTCATGGAGTACTGCCTTGTTTTGTTACCTCTTCCAAAGTGCATCACCTCTCACTTATCAGGGTTAAACCCCATTGCCACTGATATGCCCATCTGACCAATCCAGCTATACCCTCTTGTAACCCAAGACCTCCTTCATATGGTTTTACTCTAATAAAACCACAATGATTCTTCCAGATTACCCACAGTATTGAAAGTACCCAGTTACAACCTCCTTTATATCACTGATTTTTACACATTTCCCTCCACAGACATCTGGTCTGTCCTAGAGTTTCTGGCATACAGTTTCTATGCCCATACAGTTGCATTTAAGTTTAAAATTCAGCTCACTCTTCTCCCTTTCAAAGTCATTCATATGATGATTGCTGCTACTTAGAAATACCTTACTTAAAATACTATCACATTAACAAAACTATTCCCAGGATAGACTGCACTAGAATAGTCAGTTCCGGAATGTGCTGCTTTAAGAAACTATCCCAAAAGCATTCTGTGAATTCATCACCGCTACTATTACCAATCTGATTTTTCAAATTTCTACGTTGATTAAAATGGCTCAATTATTGCTGTTCTTCTACCATAAGCACCACATATTTCTTATATACTGCTTTGTACACTGTGGTCACTGGTTAGGCAGTCCGTAAATCACTCTCACGAGTGACTTTTTTCCCCAGTTATTCCTAATCTCCACTCAAGATGATTCTACATTCTGATCTCCTGAATCATAGTCACCTGTAACTATTGTACTAGTGTTATCGTTGATTAGCATTGCTGCTCCTCTGTCTTTACCTAGCTTCCTATTCTTAAATTGTTATACACCACTCAATATATAAAATCTAACCTTTGACATCCTGCAGCCACATCTCAGTAATGACAT